GCATGTATTATTTTTGTGAATATTTTTAAACAAAAAGACGATGGATGCGGGTGTGGTGTATATGCCTATAATCTCAGTATTCAGGAGGCTGAGGCATGAGGATCTTCCTGAGCTCAAGGCCAGCTTCACCTACATAGTGAGTTCAAGGCCAACATGAACTTTGTAGGCAGACCTTTTCTCAAACAAAACAAACCAAAACAAAAAAAGATAGCTCAATTTTATATGACAGAGTAAAAAATGTTCCCTAGAAACATAACCAGGGAAATAGCCCTGCATCTTCCCCTTTACCCACTCACTCAGCAACAGGCATGTGTTGAGCTTAACCAGCTCTAACTTAGCAGGAGAAGCTGAGCAAAGTCGAGCTCCTGCCCACAGGCACTTACAGCCCAGATCCAGAAGCAGGCAAGAAAATCTACCAGGACCTACAGTGACGAGGTCTGTCAGTACCTACAGGGTGTTCCAGAAACAAAGAACGTTAACTTGTCCAGAAGTTGAGGAGCAGTGCACAAGCAGACGTGCAAGACGAACACATCAGAATCAGAATGAGGAGAGGTGGACTTACAATGAATGTGATCCATATAATAAAGGTCTAGTGAGAGAGCTGGACAGGCCTGGACAAGGAAGGAATACAGGAATGCTGTACTTTTCACCCAATTTTTCTGTGAATCTAAATTGTTACTGTAAATCAAGAATAGCCATTTTAAAAAATGAAAGTGAAAAGCAGAGAACTCCTGGACAGCACTCTTGCACTAGTAAGAACTGCTACAAGAGGTTCTTGAGGGAAAAAAATACCTGCTGGAAATAGGTATTTCACAAAAATTAATAAAATGCATAAATATTATGGCAAATACAAAACACACTTTTCTCATTTTTAATTGTTTTAAAGGGTTGTTGACTATCCAAAACAAATATAGTATCAAGTTACTATGGGGTTTATCATGTGTAAAAGGTAAATGTAAGAAAACAGCACAAAAGCTGGGGAAGAGAAAAGAAAGCAGATTGTTGTAAAGTTCTTAAACTATATCTTGCACTACACACAAAGTGGTATACTTTCATTTAATATATGTTGTGATAAATGAAAGAAGCACATTGTAATTCCTAGAAGAACCAACAAAAACAAATTTTAAAGAGGTATAACTAATAAGCCAACAGTAGAGATAAAATAGAATTATAAAAAAACTTCATTCTTGGGGATGGGGATTTAGCTCAGCGGCACAGCGCCTGCCTGGCAAGCGCGATGTCGTGAGTTCAATTCCCGGAACCGGAAAAAAACAAAAACCAAAGCAAAACAAAACAAAACAAAAAACTTCATTCTTGTAAAAGGCAGGAAAAGAGAAAAAAACAAGTACAATTTAGATAAATAAAAAACAAATAGGAAGATGGTAGATTTAACATACAACATCAACAATAATAGCAAATGTAAATCAACTCTTAAGAAGCAGAGATGCTTAATTTGGATAAAAAAAAAAAAAACCAACCTCATGTCTTCTGTAAAAATACTTACAAGACATAGGTTAAAAGTAGGCCCAAATATACACTATACAAATATTAGTCAAAAAAAAGCTAGAAGGCTAGAAAGCTAGAGGGCTGCGGATGGCGCTCAGTGGCAGAACACATGCCTGGCACACACAAGACCCTGGGATTAATCCCAGTACCACAAAAGAAAGCTGGAGTTTATATATTAATATCAGACATAGTAAGCTTTAGAAAAAGAAATATTACTAGAGATAAAGACACTACACGATTTGATTAAGAGATCACTTTTCAAGAAGACAGAACAATATTAAATGTGTCAAAACACATCAGTGTCAAAATACATAAAAATTCAAAGGAAAAACACAAGTAAATTCACACTTACAGTTGAGGATGCCACCATTTCTCCCTCAGTAATTGACAAGTACATAAAATAAATAAGAACATAGGAGACCTGAACAATGTTTTCAACCAATTTAACCTGAATGATACTTATAAGGTACTCTATTCAAAACAATGGCATGAACATCATTTCAAGTGTACAAGGACTAGTTCAGCAAGACAGAATGCATACAGGGTCATAAAAACAAATCTTAATAAATGTTTTAAAAGATTAGTAACATAAAGAATGTTCTCTGACCACGAAAGAAGTGAGAATCAGTAATGAAAAATATCTGGAAAATCTTTAAATATTTGAAAATTAGGCAGCACACTTCTAAGTGTGCTAGGTGTTGTGGCATACACCTGTAGTCAGTTCCAGCCACTCAGGGGGCTGAAGTAGGTGGACTGTTTGAGCCCCACAAGTTTGAGGTCAGTGTAGGCAGTATACCAAAACTCTGTCTCAAAAGAAAAAAAACTAGATAAATGAAATAAAATAAGAAAGGAATAAAAAACTGTCACTGTTTGGGATGTGGACGTAGCCCAGTGATAAGAGTATTTGCCTGAATGTGCAAGGCCCTGGGCTCAATCCCCCGCAACCCCCACCCGCAAAAATCCTATCATTTCTTGCTAACAACATCACTGACATGTGTAGGAAACCTAAAAGAATTCATAGGAACTACAATAAAATTAATAAGTGAATTCAGCTTACTCAGTAAGATGACTAAAAATATTTTTAAATTTCATTTTCATGTATTACCAACAATTCAAAAGTTTAAGAAACAACATAGTTCTTACTAATATAAAATCAAATACCTAGAAGTAAATCTAATGATACAGGTCTCTATGACAGAAAACTACATGCTATTGCTTCATAGTTATTTGTGTATGTGCGTACAGCGAGAAATTGAAGAAAATCTGAAGAAACAGGATTGTAAGACTAAATATAGGAAGGATGTCTATTCTCTATAAATTAATCCAAGGTGCAATTCCATGAGAATCTTAGCAGTTTCTTTCTTTCTTTCTTTTCCTGGGAAGTGAAAACTGCTGCTAAAAAGTATTTGGAAACACTAAGGGCCAAGCATAGCTAAGAACCTAGAGGAAGAACGAAGTGGGAAAATGTTCGTGATATGACAAAATTCAGTAATGGAGAGAGTACAGTACTGGTGCAGTGACTAAGATAAACAGGCCAGAGGAGCACACCAGAAGGTCCACATCCAACTGCAGACAAAGGCAGCAGCTCAGAGCCCAGACTCGTCCGCTTAATGGCACCAGATCCTGGTTCCACATGGCAGGAAACAAAACCTGACCCCACCTCACATCACGCACAAACAAAAAACTTCAATTCCAGGTGGAATTTATTTTTCTTTAATTTTTTGGGGGGGGCGGTTACCAGAAATTGAACTCAGGACCTTGTGCTAGCCAGGCAGGCACTGTACCCTAGAGATATATTCCCCCAGCCCTCAGATGGACTTTAGATCCAACTTTTTTCACATAACATGAAAAGCACTCACCACAGAAGAAAAAAAATTGATTAACTATGAACATTTAAATCAAAATCATTTCCTTATCTGTAAAATGGGAAGAATAATTGGAATTCACTTAGTAATACGGTTGTAGTTTTCTATGATTCAATCATGTAAGGGACCTAGCGTATGTTTAGCATAGAATATGAATTTTTTTCTTGCTTTTTTTTTTTTTGAGACAGGGTCTCATTATGTAGTTTACCCTGGCCTTGAACTCACAAAGATCTCCCTGCCTCAGCCTCCTGAGTACCAGGACCACAAGCATGTGCCACCACAGTGAACAGAATACGAATTTTAAAAACAGTGAGTAGGGGCTGGGGATTCAGCTCAGCGGCACAGCGCCTGCCTGGCAAGCGCAAGGTCGTGAGTTCAATTCCTGGTACCGGAAAACACCAAAAAACCAAAAAAACAAACAAAAAACAGTGAGTAGAAGGTAAAGCCAGAAACTCTCTGAGTGTTATCTAGTCTCTAAAGAAGAAAGGTAGAGCCAGGTATGGTAGTGCATGCCTGTAATCCTAGCACTTGGGAGCCTGAGACAGGAGGATTGCCACGAGTTCAAAGGCCAGCTTAGGCTACACAGTGAGTTTAAGGCCAGCCTGAACTTCACAGGGAGACCGTGTCAAAAAAAAAAAAAAAAAAAAAAAAAAAGGAAGAAGAGAAAGAGGGTACAGATAGGCAGAGCAAAGTTAGAAAAACTCAGAAGATAGTTTAAAATGAGATGAGACAGTGTTTGTAAGTGGAAGAAAAGGCCAAGTGTAACAGGCAAACAACACAGAGATAGAAGGTATGCTTAAGAGGCAAGGTGGTATGTGCCTATAACCCTAGCACTTGGGAAGCTGAGGCAAGAGAATTGCTGGGAGCTCAACAACAGCCTGGGCTACATAGTGAGTTCAAGGCAAGCCTAAACTACGTAGCCAGACTCTGTCTCAAAAAACAAACAATACAAAAAAATCTATGCCTGAAAGAAAGGCGGCAGGGACTGAGGGCCAGCCAAAGGAGCAGAACAAGAGCACAGAGACAGGAAGGAAGGAGGAAGACTTTCAGATTCGGGGAAGTCTGCATGGACTGTGGATGGAAAGAGATGGCGCAGTTTCTATTTTCTTCAGAGATCAGAATCAAGGTCATCTTAAAGCGAGGAGAGGTGTGGGGAGTGAGTGTCTGAGCTGCAGCTGAACCCTGCAGCACCATAAGGACTGACAACGGAGCATGGCAGAACAAGTTGCCGTCACAGTCCCCAAAGCACTGTGCAACCTAACCCAAAGTGTTCAGGCAACACTTGCAACTGATGCTTCCCCACGTCTCTCACACAGCAATGCATTCACTTTACAATCTGAGTGTTTATGTGAAAGAAACTCACTTAGCAGTACTAACCCCCAAACACCATTAAATTTCACTGCCACTGCCTTCCTGATTTACCAGGTAGTCAGTAAAACAGTAAGAGAAACAACACAAAAGACTAATAAAATGGGGCCATTCAGACAGAATCCAAGAATCCTGCAGACAGCATGCATCCTACCTTACCCATAAGTCTCCTCAAAGCTGTCACAGAGAAGTGGCCACCAGCATCAGTGTAAAGCAAATAAAGCAGCAAGTTGTGGGTGTGCGAAGGACTGCTATGCTTACCGGTTAAAGATGTTATCGCTGAAAGCATACTTTTCCAGGCGTGCAAGAGGGGGCAGCTCATCCTGGCCTGGGATGTCCAAGAAGGCTGTCAGTCTCATACTGTCACAATCTGGACCGTAGTCTTCAAATCCATCTAGAAGGGAAGAGAAGAAACTCAAATACCCCACGCAGAAGTGTCTATTCACTGTGATGAGTCAGACATAGGCAAAGATGGGGCCTACTGGCACAGCTTTCTACTGTCAGACCTTTCCAGCAGAAGCTCCTAGGAAAGACACCCTTGAGAATCCATCTAAAATGGATAGCCATATAACCTTACGTCAAAGGTGGTAAAGACTATAGTCATACAGAAAAGCTAGATGGCTTCTTTTACTGCCATCTGTCTGATGCCGGCCTCAGTTTCAAACAGGATAAATAGGCACCACTCCTTTACTGGGGAGTTCAGAAGCCAGGAAACAAAGAGCCTCGCTTTTCTAAAAAGCGGCCATGTAGCTCTACTCAAACACATTTAAAATAGTCAAAGGAAAAAGCAAATAGGTTCTGCCCAAACAGCAAGAATCTGACAGCAAGTTCTCCAAACATTTTGCCTACACTAATGTAGTCACAAGGTTCATGTACTTGACATAAATTCCCACCTACCTGACCCTCCCCACAGAGTCTGAAAGGTTCCTCCAGCTCGCACTGGTGAGAAACTCACCAGTTCGCATCCTTTTTCTTCTTCTCTAAGCCTGTTCTGCCCTACATCCCTGAGGCGAGGCACATCCTTCTCTCCAGCATGGTGGGTGGCTAAGGTCATGAGTTCTGGAGACAAATGCTCCTGGGATGGCGGAATCCCAGAGTAAGTCACTGAACCTATCTAGATTTCCATGATTTCATCTTGCCGGTGGGGATAAACCCTACCCTTGCTCTCTAAATGGGGTGAGACAGGTGAGTTCATATGTGTGGATTTGCCCACCTCCACATGATCTGAACAACTCTGACCACAGATCACCACCATTTGCTTTGGTGTGGCAGAATCACAGGAGGCCTTTGCACCCCTGAGGCCTTCTACAAATGTTATTCGCCACATTTTGTCTCCTTTTGACCTTTAGGTCTCAGGCAGGGTGCAACCCTTCAGCAAAGACTTCCCTGTCCACTGTCCTCTTACCTCAAGTGCCCCAGGTGGTACCAAGCTGGGCTGATCTGCCGTGTTACTGTACAATGTTATATACAATCCATTCATCCTGCTACCAATACAGGTTCTCACAGGCAGGCCTGCAGCTGCCTACTACTGGGTTCTCTGGGCCTAGCATGATGCATGGCACACAGTAAATGTTCATAAATCATGAATAAATTCACTTTCGAGCCATGCATTTCACCAAACAACCTCTTAACCAACCACTGAATTAACTTAATCTTTCCATCCACTCTATAAAACACACTGATTAATCCCAGGACACAGTCATAGCTAAGAGGCTACTCTCCAAGAATCACACTGGTAAAAGGAGTTGTTGGGACAGTCATAAAAATAAAAACAGTAACTACTTTTCTAGTACTTGTAATGAGTAAATGGTAGGAAAGTGCTTTACAAGTATGATTCAGTTCCCACAACTCAACCAAGTAAAGACTATCCTTATCCTTATTTTACAGATGAGCAAACCAATACCCAGAGAGGTTATGTAGCTTTCCTTTCGTCATTCATCTAGCTTGCGCTATCCAGAAGTAGGACCCTGCACAGTTGTTGTCAGAAGGGTCCTGTGCTCACTAAGAGTGAGTTATCTGTGTACGCAAAGCTGTTTATGCTAGTTTTCTTTACTCTGATTAAATATCTCAGGGAAATATTATGTAATCAGTGGCATACGATTGTCAAAACAAAGCTGTATTCCCAAACATTAGTTTGAATTCTTCAGAAAGATTCAGCAGAGATGAATTACTGAAACACAGCTGTGGGTAAAACAAGTGGGAAATACTACAAACACAAGGTTTTACGTCCATGTTTTTAGCACAGATCTTTCACCCCATGTAAAGACCAGAATGCTGATGAAGCCTACGGGTGTGCTATGCGGAGAAAAGGAGGGTGCCTGTGCATCAACAAGGCCTTGGCTCAGATGGCAACGCAGTATGAGCATGCATTTATGCATATTATAAAATATGGGCATTTTTAAGAACCCCTGTTATGATAATCTTTTCTATTAGCAGATATCTCCTCATTCCATTCCTGCTGGAGATGAGGGCATCCACTAAAAGGATAAGGCAGGGAAGGAAGTGCCTGAATTTGAAATTCCATTATCAAGAGGATGCTGGCTGTTTCAAAGACAGCCTGGCTGGAGTTTGTGCACAATAAAGAGAAATATATATACAAAGTCCTCCCTTCCCCTACTCCCTTCAGTCAACCTTCCCATTTTTTACCTTAAAGAATAAAGATAAAGAAACAGGCTGCCAAAGACCTCCTTGGGGCTAGTTTTGGCAAGAGAACTGTCTCTATAGTTGGGTCCAGGAAGATCAATCGGCACCTGCTACAGAGGTGTAAATGCACCCTACTATTCTTTACGCTGAAAATTAGATAGCTGTGCCAGTAGCACTACTGGTGTGAAAAAGCAGGAGTCCTACCTGGCAGACAGAAAACCAAAGCCAATTTAGGCAGTAATTGATAAGAGTTTAAAATAGAGATGACAAGCTTATGCTTAGGTGCTTATTTTCTCTGAAACACTGAAAACATTTTTTATCAGCTAATTCTTTTAAGCTAGTAATAAGAGTTTATTAAAAATTTACATTGTATAACAGTTACTCTAAGAATTTTAATAAAGACTTATACATTTGTACAAAAACACACACAGCATAATCAAAACATGTTGTTTCTCTGCAGGATCACTCCCTCAGATGAATGGGACTAGACGGAGTCACAGCCAAGCCAAGAGTGGCAGTGCTGGGTGTAAGTATTCTCCACACTGCTCCTAGGGGCCAACAGGAGCATACCCTGCACTCCACAGATGTGTAGAGAGCACCTACGGAGCTGGCCTGGAGTGGATTCAAAACAGTGACCAAGTCCAAAGCAGTGATTCTGGACCTGCTGGGCTCACAGATGGTTCTGGACACAAATAGAGTCACCCGAGCCTTTTATGCAGGAACAGGGTTTTCAGAGGGTCTTCAAGGCCTACGGAGTACTTCAGGGATTAAGAACTAACTTGCTGTATTAAGATAAAAGAAAATATCCAGATACTTCACAAGAAACTGTTAAATCAGAGAACTAAGGCTTTGGCAATTAGTCTCATAAGAGAATCGCTGTCAATGGAGAATATTAATGATTCTACTACACTATATATAAAACAAGGAAATAAAAGCTAAAAGCCATAAAATATTAGATAGTAATTAACCCTTATTGGTTATTTCCCAACCAAGAACTGTGCTAAAAGCTTTCTGTGTACAGTAGCTTATTAAATCTTGATAGCAACCATATTATTTCCATGTTTGTACTAAGAAAAATGCAGCTTGGAGAGGTTAAGAAAGTTGTCAAAGTTCACAAAGCTAGAGAGTTGTACAGTCAAAGTCTGAACTCAGTCAGACTCCAGACATCACACTGTGCTATAGTGCCAGAAAGGAAACCTAGATATTAATTTTAATTTTTAAAGGAACCCTGCCCATCTCCTCTCTAAGTGCTAGTCTTAATGATTCTGTTCCTGCTGTTCCCATGGCCTGAGACACCCTCACTTCTTAAACCCCAACTTGAGTTCAGTGTCCCAACGAGACCTCCCCAGCCCCCAGGGAGAAGGCCAATCTGCTGTCACAGACTGTCTTGGAGCTGTGGCTCTTCCTTCCCAACACTGGCCACCGAAGTGCTGGCACTGGGTGCCATCACGACAACACATCTGTCCTAGTGGCCCTGAGAACCCCATGAAGGTACAAAACTCCAGCACCCAGTGCAGGTTATGTCCAGTAGTAGGTATTCCACAAAAAGATTAAAAGAAGGAATGATACTCCTAACAGAAACTTTAAAAAATGGAGAAGAAATTGAAACAGTGAATGTTATAGTATAGAATCACAGAGAAGCAAGAAGAAGCCTAAGAATATATCTTGATAAAATCATTTTACAGACAAGGAAATGAATGTGCCCAAGGATTCTGAGAACCTAAAAGTTCTGCAGTCCAGCCCAGTGTTCTATCACCAAATAAGCAGAAAAATCTAAGAGGATGGAGACTAAAAGAACAACAAAGCCAAAAGGAAAGATTGTGGATAGGAAATGAGAAAGACTTATTTCCAGGTAAGATAGCAAAAGTGGATGTAGTAGACTGACAACTGGTGGTCAATTTACAACCCCCAGCTGAACTGAGTAAGCCTGGTGCTGGGTGTGGGAGGCCCACCTGGGAACTGTTGCCAGGAGCATAAGAGGCAGACCTGGAGAAGGAAAAAGGCTTTGGGGAACTAAAGAGGCTGTTGGGAGCAGAGAAATGCTGTTGGGAGCTGGTAGAAGCTGTAAGGAGCTGTTGGTTGTTTTGGAGGAGCTCGTCATGCTGGCTTTCCTGATGAACTTGGCTGTTTTCATCCTACGAGGAGCTCGGGACCTCGTTGGCACTGAGAATAGCTTCAGTTCACTTTGGGGAGGCTCTGGTCCTCCCTTTGAGCATCGCTTCCTGGCTCCGGAGGGGAAGATGGTGCACTGCCGGTCTCCTAGAGAAGCTTGCTGTGTTGGCTTCCCTGATGGGAACTCGACTCTCTTGATCGTCGGAGGAACTCGGGACCTCACTGTTGCTGAGGACGGCTGTGGTACCTTTCGGGGGAGCTCTGGTTCTTCTGAGCATTGCTTCCCGGCTCCAGTGCAGATCCCTCAGCCTGCTAGCACACATCCTTCATCCCACTGGCACAGACTTCCTAGATTCCACCACTGACCTTTGGGCCTTCCCAGCACAGATCCATGAAACAGGCCTGCATGAGATATTGTTACGGGCTCTAGGACTCCAGGTGAACTCGTGGAAGGCACTGTTATGAGCTCTAGGCCTTCAGCTGGACTCATGTAGGACATTACCATGGGATCCAGGCCCTCGGCTGGATTCTTGGTCTCTAGTGTATGGACAGATTTCCTGCACTCTCTTGTATATCATCCTTTGGGTGACTATTATAAATAATCATATAAAATATGTGTCTTGTATTATATTGTTCCCC